CATTGGTCCCTCTTCTTTAGAGAAGACCAGGAAATGATGGATACACGGATCGTGTTCAAATCAATAGGCACGCAATGACTCTAAATAATAATGATCACGCCACCAAACACACATTCAAACTAAAGGAACCAGCCTGTTTGGAAAATGTAACAAGTAGAAAGTACAGGTATGTGTGTTCAAAATGTAAGAAGTATAAATTAAAGGTATTTGTGTTCAAAATGTAAGAAGTCAAAGTAAAAAGTCGTCAGAAAAATAAGAAGTGGAGTGTACTGATACCAGAAAGATTAAGTACAGTAACGAAGTATTTGTACTCCACTACTTCACACCTCTGGACAAAGGGTTATATCAGAGCTGTTCAAGGTCTTCTCTATAGTCTAGACGTCTAGAGATTGTAAGGACCAGCAAATCCTTTAGTTTAGTTTATATTTCTACTTATAAAAGCAATATCAAAGGTTGTTTCCATCAGTCTACTTATGTCATTGCATTGCTACTCTTTGGCTCACTTGCAGCTGATATACATTGTAGCTTTTATCAAATTAGATTTCATCCTTTGCTGTTTCCAGGTTGAAAATCTGATCTGAGGCTTTCAGAGGTTCGAGTAAATCCCTCTAATGTTGAAGCCACAGGTGCCGATGTTGTGTCATAGCTCTCATAGCCAATCAGAATGCGAGTTTTGCCTTGCTTACGTCTGAATTTGTGCATGACGTTGGGCCTCAGTGTTTTCGACCAGGAATCTATGGGGACGCCTGTTGAGCTCTGTTCGTGTTACTTGTGTTTTACAGCATGTTGTGTTGCTTTGTGGTTGTTATGTTACTGTTTGTTGTGAGTATGTAATGTTCATGATTATTGTCTTGGTTTTGGGTAGTAAAAAGTTCAAGAATTTATTGAATATTTCTCAAAATAGTTGCTGTCAAGTCCTGTTTTCGGCAGAATGACTTCTGATGAGCTGCAGTGTAACTTTACATGTGTCCCTGTGAAGGTTATGTAACACCATACAACAGCTCAACGTTTTACAAAAGCAACACATTTGATTTTCTCCATATATTTTATGTTTAATTTAACAATGCAGTCATTTCAGGTGCTGGAAAATAACTGAATAGGCACTTTGAAGATAATTAATTGTATTTAACTTTAGGAAAGGTGCAGGAACCCTGGAGATAAATCTTTATATCCTCCAAAGAAATGTGCAACAAAAGGCTTTCAATAGATTTTAATATAACACATTATTCTTTTCATTCTATTCATCCGTCCATTTACCTAGCCAGTTGATTCGTTCAGGCTCTACACAGAAGTCAGGGCTAACACTCTCAGCTATATAATGTCCGCCTGACGTGCAGCGCAGTTCTTCAATCTCCGCTCACTCTGAGTACAAAAGTGAGCAGAAAGCTTCTATTCAACTGAAAATGTGCCCAGCTGAGGGGAAATGATTAGGTTCATTTCATGCTTTGATGAAACTTGGAGCAAAAGTTTGTCACACAGTGTTATAAAGCTGGGTGTCGTTTACAATTCTAGTTCTGCTGTTAGATACTATTAAATGTTCTAGATTCAAATCATTTAACGGGGCTAAAACAGTTCACATAAAAAAATAATTTGAGCTGCACGATTCAGACTCATTTTCACTACATACAGTTTACGTTGTGCCTCTCCACCTCTGTTCCTTACTTCTTACTTGCTACCCTTTTCCCTCAACCTATCCTAAGGGAGTGCATGTACGTAGACACGTTAGTTTTGCTGCTATAGGCTTGGACTGTCGGGGGACACCTTACTTCTTCCTTCTGTCTGTTTGTACCTGTGTACTCTCATGTTCCGATTAACCCAGCTTCCCTCAAATTTCTTTTTGGTGTCTATCTACGCCGGGATCCTGAGTCGAGGCTGATCCTGTCGCTGCGGCCCTGTGTCCTGGATCCTGAATCATGTGTCCTGGATCCTTAGTCCTGAGTCCTGGATCCTTAGTCCTCAGTTCTGGATTTGAGTCCTGGACTTCGAGTCGTGGCTGAACCAGTCTCTGCGGTCCTGCCTGACTCTCATCATGCTGCTTCCCTGATGGCTCCCACAGGATTGTTGACATCCTCGTGGATTCATCTTCTTATTATAGACACATGCATTTCCAAACTTTTGGTCTTTCCAAACATTTGGTCTACCTACGCTTTAAAATGTATTATCTCTTTGATTTACACACGGCATCTATTGCACGTCTGTCCGTCCTGGGAGAGGGATCCCTCCTCTGTTGCTCTCCCTGAGGTTTCTCCCATGTTCCCCTTTAAACTGTGGGTTTTCTCTGGAAGTTGTTCCTTGTACGATGTGAGGGTCTAAGGACAGAGGGTGTCGTATTGTCATACTGATATTCTGTACAAACTGTGAAGTCCACTGAGACAAATGTAACATTTGTGATATTGGGCTATATAAATAAAAAAATAAACATTGATTGATTGATTTATGGAACCTGTGATTTAATTTAAAAGAGCTTATTTAGGTTTGTCTTGCTACCAAATATAACCATAACAGTAGAATTTAACTATGAGCATTTAGTCAAGTGTTAAGGAACTTTAAGGGTCCCCATGATGCTATTTTTTGTATCAGTATGTAGTGTCTCTACTGTGACATGTCTCGATGCTTTAATGTTCAAAAAGCTCTTTATTTTTCTGCCTGTGCTGCAGCACCTCTTTTCCCCCTCTGTCTGAAACCAGAGCCCAGTCTGCTCTGATTGGTTAGCTGGCCGGCTCTGCTGTGATTGGTCAACGGCTTAGAGATTACCCGCCCCTTAGCTTGATAGCAAAACAAATTGTGTTGCTGGTGTGGTATAAAAACAGCTGGTTGTTTAAAGTTTAGTAAAATTGTTTGTCACACGTATGCCTGGTTAATGCTGAGTGATGTTTATGAGTATGGTTGTGGTCGAGACACTTTTCTTTCTTGGCACTAATTCTGTTTCAACTGTTCATCATACTCGCCATAAACTGTTATTGCTAATCTCGCTATTTTTGTTTTTTGGTGCTGCCTGAGAAGATATTTGGAGCAGTTTTCAGGGCCGAGAGCCGGCAGAACTGCAGTGGAAACACGAGCAACTGGTTTGCAGTCGGGCACCAGCTTTGAGTTTCTGAAGTGTCTTCTTCGTATAATCAGCAGAACACAGAACAGAAAGCCCTTTGAGGAAATCATTTATTTTGAAACCAAACAACATCACAGATTAAACATGAACACATTGCTGCATACAACCTGGCAAACGCATACAAATCATAATATGTGCATTACATAAACAAATAGCATACAGTTAATAATAACCGCGCCAGAGGAGCATTTCACATTTAGCCGCTATTACTGTAACACACAGTTTAGCGTCCAGCTATACACAAATACAGAAATGTCGACCGCAACGGATATGAAAGCATGTTTTAAATATATATTTTGTTCAGGTTGATATTACAAGGCAATCACACACAATTAACTCCCATTATCTTTCCATCTTCGGACAGGAAACTAAAGTGCTGCTGGTAGCTTTGAGGTTGCAGCTGAACAAAGAGGCTTCTTCATTCCTCCAAAGCATTTTGCATACATTTTCCACTAAAGGGCACAACATCAAAGAGCAATCTTGAATACAGACATATCAATAAAAGACATATCAATGGAACCATATTACATTAAGAGAAACATAAATACAGCCAGTTACACAGCATGATAAAAGCATACGTTTTACACACTTTTGTTTTAAAGGTTTTGCATTTCAAGCCACAAACATAAAGTATTCAAGTCCACATATTTAGTTTCCTCCAGAGCTGGCCTCATGGTATTTCCACTTAAATAATTCACATTGAGTACTTGCTGATATCAGTAATACATTCAAATGAATTCAAAAGTAATAACAAGTTACTCTGTGCCTTGTTGTCCGTGACTGACACCTGAGCTTCACATTTCCAATGCAAATCTAAAGACAGTTTTATCCCTTATACTGTAAATCCCCTATAAATAAATGTGATTGATTGATTGATTGATTGATTGATTGTTCTGCTAAAATATACAATAATAATAATGCACATGTTAACAAAGACACAACCCGGGAACACATTCAAGTTACACCACAACAGTGACAGCTTAGCAATACAAATATTACCCCTTTTTCATATCCGAGTTCTTCAGCTTTTTATTTGTATACTGAATATAATGTCTCTTTAAAGAAATAACCTTAATGGCAAGTAAATGGCAATATTTACCTGGAAAGTAATCATTTTATCACACAAGCAAAAACTAAGCTTATAATGCCGCACATTGACCGTTTTACAAACACAATTCAATAATGACACAATTACTACCAAATCAAGGCACAGTGAGACACCTGCACGTTAGTAATTCACTACATTGCATGTTGTCTAGTTGAGAAAATATTAGATTACATGTCATTAATGTGGACAATCCCCACAGGAGCAATTTGGGGTGAAGTGTCTTGCCCAGGGACACAACGACATGCTGACTCCAGTGGGGTTTGAACCCGTGACCCCCTGATTCCAAGTCCAGCACACTATCCACTGAGCCACAGCCTCCAAAATATGCAAATATAATTCAAACTCTGTATCACTTTTGATGCTTTTCGATGCGTGCATAGAGGAAAATGGGTAGTTCATTTGGGCGGGAGATTACGCTGCATCGCACAGAGAGATTAGAGCCAGGTATCTCTGGTTTTCTACATGTTATAGAGCACTTTGGGTTTAAAGCAAGAACACATTTATTGTACATAGCTTCTGATATTGATTAATTTAATGCTAAGTCGTTTTTTCCCTTTATCCAACAGCCATAGTTACAACACCTTAAATGTGTTTTTGATCTTAAGACAGAAAGGAATGTCTTTGCCTGCATACAGTATATTTATTTTAATATTCAGATACTATATTATTTGTACCGCTGTGAGTGTTTCTTATTCTGTTCTTACTTCGTTTTTTATGTTCATGGTCATAATGTTTCGGAAAATATATCTGAGTAAGTATACAATACAATCAACAATAAAAGCATTGAAGAAGAAAATGCTCATTCAAACATAGCCCGACTTATATAGAATTTCTTTCTGTATGTTACGAAGTACAATGGGCTTTTTCAAACTATTATAATGTCAGTATTTTTCTGTCTTCTTGTGTGTCTGTATAGGTATTATTAGTTTCCAGACAGTCCGTGTCTCTTGATGGCCATGCAGTGTCTTCTGAATGTGAAATTGCCCTCTTCAAACTTTCCTTGCAACTTTTTTCTTGTGCCATAGAAGACAGATTTGCGTCATGAGGGATCCTTAAGGTAATCAAACTCCTACGGTCTCTATGGGTTGTTTTTTTTAATCCAAGATAATGTGATTTAGTGTGTTTATTTCATCCACCCATTCATTTGTTTTCCACGGGTATCAACAACTTCTTCCCTGATATAAGATCTGTTTTACACTAAAGAGATTCAGAACTGAGTGTTTCTTATTAGTACGCTGACCCGGTTGTTACCGTAACCCTGGTTCCCTCGACAAAAAGCCTATTGGAATTCTCCATTGGATTTTGAATTATTGCAGAATAAATACTCTATGGCACTTGCACATTTTGTCCAGCAAGACAATCTCCACCTATTAATACCATTGATATGATTTGTGTTATAAATGAATTACACCACAGTCACATGACTTCATGTCAACGATTAGGCTGAAGGCGGACTGGTGTTCTCGACTGTGTTATCTCTCTATTGCAAACAACATGTTTAATTATATGTATCCTGACTTTGCTTTTTGAATACTTGAAAAAAATGTAAAGGTATCATGTTTGTCAGGTAGAGGTTATTTACAATATTGTGTTTCTTATAGACATTGAGGTAGTTGACCAAGAGCTTTTGCCTTTATAATAGTGTAAGGAGAGCTTACAATGAGTTTCACTCTTCTGCAATGTTGTGGAGGTAGATGAATTGTGTTGTTAATTACAATAACTCCACATGACCTCTGTAGAGGCAACTAGTAAGACCAAAGTGACCGCTTGGTTTATTAACTGTAACGAAGCCATTAATGAATAGGTCCACTGTCGTTGTCCCAAAGTCTCAAAGAGTATAGTACTTGTTTGTATTTGTACTTCATAACTGAAACAAAATCCTTGTCAAGATAGTTTTGAGGTAATTTGTAGCCAACCAACTATCATTGTTAACACTTGATGATAAAAGCACTGTCAAGAACAACACAACGCATTTTCAAAACAAGCTGCATTTCCGTCTGACTGGTTTCTATTTGGGTTCTATTTCTGCTGCCATTTCTGTGTGAGGCGACTCAATGTGACAATATGAACACACAACATGACAAGTGCCATGATGAGAAGATTGCACATAATGTCCGGATGCTTAGAATGAACGCCTTTCAGAGTCTAAGAAAATCAATTCTCCGTAGCCTCTATTAAAGTGCTGTCTAAACCAAATCGCTTCTGTAATTAGCTTTAGATAGCACATCATACTAAACAATACAATTTAAAACATGCAAGCGTGCCATTAATTAGGTCCCTTCTCGTTGTAATCGTCAAGCCCCTGATAAATACTAACTGGACATTGCATGTGAAGACTTACATTATGGTCACACTTCTGCTCAGTCAATTGTTTTGCTGATCATCCTTGTCCTACATTAAAATCTGTCTAGAACTTAGTAGAATATTGCTGATATAAAGTAGAAGGAGTAGTGGACATTCCTGTTTTGTTATCCAAACTGCCACTACTGGATATTGATAATACTCTACCTTCATTTGGGTGGGTTAGGTTTATGAATGAGGATTGAGATTGGTTAGGATAATGGTAAGAATATAGAACACTCAGAGTCAGAGAAATATCGTTCATGCCTTCACCATAGTGTGTAGAAGAAGCCATGTGTCTCTGTTTGTTAGGAGAATGTGTGATTCTAGAGCAATGGGCCATCCAAACAATGGTTTACGGGATGATGAGATGTTGGACCAATGGGAATACTTCTAATGTTGGTTAAAAAAACAGCTGCTTAAAGTACTAGGCTAGAAATGACTGTCATGAAATAATAAGTGCAAAACCAACATATTGCTCCAACTTTCTTTTAGCTTTAACAATACTTTTGGACTTGCTTAGCTGTCTAAATCGTGAGAATCTTGTACATTGTTGTGCTTATCTACAGTAAGGGAATATTTCTCAAATATACAATCGCCCTAAAGTACATTGTGCCACCTCGAGTGCTGTCATCTATGCTGTCCCTGATTGACTGATCATGGCCATAAAGCAATTTTCAAATTGTTAATATTATAGATGAGGCATTGCCTAGAACTAGTGTCATAATGGGTATCCATCATACCAAACAGTGGCCCGATACACATTCAAAATCTGACAATTGATACTAGTCTCTTCCTTGGATCTACAATGCAACATACAATGGCTTTGTTGGGTTCATTTATGAGTAACAGTGTGAACTTCAGATGTCCCACGCCTGATACACTGAAGCTGCCTGTGGACTTGCCCCCTCTGACTCCTCACTATTGCTTCCTTTATTTTGTACTGCCACCATTTCTAACCCTCGATCTGAAAGACTTCTATCTGAGTGGACCACCACAGACCCTACCTTTAGACTCTTATCCACCTCGGCTGATTCAGTCAGCTGGTTGACGTTATGGACTCGATTCCTCACTCCCAAGACTAGACGATTGTGACTGCTAGTGGCATCTCTGAAATCACACTCTCTACCAGGTGCTTGCACAGACTGGTCTTTCCTCCCCCATCTGACCACCCTGCTCCACAGCTGGCACTGCATGAGGCAACAGAAGGGTCGAGACTTGCAAACAGCCTGGAAACCCTTCTTAAAGTTCTCGTTGTAGTAGCCGTAGATGATAGGGTTGACGCTGGAGTTGGAGAAAGCCAGCCAGTGGGTGAAGGGAAAGATGTAGCTGGTCAGAAGTTCCACCTGGTCCCGGTCGAAGCCTGCGTAGTCAGTCATCATCATGAGGGTCCACAGCGGCAGCCAGGACAGCATGAAGAGCAGAGCCACCAAGATGAGCATCTTTATCACCTTGATCTTTTTCTGGGAGATCAATGGCTGGCCAGCTCTTGCAATCACAGAAGACCCCAGCTTGCATCCGATACTCCCGTACATGAGCATGATGACGGTGAGTGGCACCAGGTAGATGAGAGCAAACAGAACCGCTGTGTAAACCTTTCTCATCTGAGGGATGGCAAAGTTCTCGTAGCAGGAGTACAGGGGGACCGTTTGGTTGAAGTCATTATTGTGCACCATGTAGTGGAAAGGAACTTTATCCACAGTCAGAGCCACAGCAGCAGGACACATGATAACCACTGCTAGCGTCCAGATGAACACGATGGCCCCCTTCGCAACCAGAACAGTGGACTTGGGCTGTAGAGGGTACACTACACACCGAAACCTAAAGATAAAAGCATTGCTGAATGTTAGTGTTAGGAAAATATCACTCGTCACCGGCTTGAGCTTCAATCTCAGGATCCATATATTTGTGATCCTCTCCAGAATGGAAGTAGTCATCACATACAGAGCATCAACTAGTTCCTGAACAGTGTCCTTCACATGCTGATATCCAAGAGAGGGAGTTACACAGTCACAAGATGGAGGAATAGAAAGCAGTATTCAATGTTTACTTCAGATTAGCTCCACGTCAGAAATGAGCATGCTTGTCATATGTCTCTCTCCATAGAGGCTGAATCATCATGTTAATCACATAGCTATCATATGCCTCAAACAGTCCTGATGCTCTTCTAGGTAATCACACATCCTGTCATGTACACAGCTACAGTTGGGATACCTTTGTTATCATGTGGACTCTGATATTGGAAGAGGACATTCAGTATTTCCCCAACAGTTAGTTTTATATGATATATATGTCTTTACATATACCAAAAAGAATATTTAACTAAAATACTTCTTGCTTTATACTTTTATTTTCCAATTATGTTTTACATTCATCATTTAGGTTTTAAAATCAAGTTGAATGCCCGTCTAAGAACTAGAGATATTTTCCATATTCAAATGTTCTGTCACAGAAGAGTATTGGGGTCAGGTACTGTATAAGTTGAAATAAATGAGAAAGGGAAGATATTTTATTTTGTGTTTGGTCAAAAAAATCTAAGTGTTGAGAAAAAAGTTGAGTTTTCATATATTTCATAAATGCAGTAGTTAGATTTATTCTCAAAGGTTCAACATTTATTCCAGATATTTTTATTTTATTCCGAAAAAATTGTAATCCAACTTTGTTCTCAACGTTTTGAGTTCTCAAAATCCAAAATAAAAGGAAATCGTCCTCTTTTTCTCAGTTTGTCCGGCCTTAAAACTGTTCCATATTAGAATAGAATATATCTGTATTGTCATCATACAAAGTACCACAACATTTGTCTGGCAACTCTCACTGCAGTAAAAAATAGACACAATAAATAATGTTTGGTTATGTTCTGTGTCCCTGGAAATGTGCGATGGGAAATGGAGACAGAGTAGACTGGTAAATATGGGAATAACAACAAACTCACCTCTCAACAGCTATGGCCACCAGAGTGAAGACTGAAGCAGAAACAGACACTCCTTGCACAAAGCCGCTCATCTTACACACACAGTTAGAAAAAGGCCAACCTGTGGAAGAAAGGATAACATCTCATCAGAGAGGAACTCAAGCTGGCAATTCACTGACATGATTATCCCTCTTTGAGACACCCTAAATCAGTTGATTGTACATGTTGTTCTTCAAGAAGCAGGTAAATACGACAATTACCAAACATCAATGTAATCGCCTATGAGGTCTTCTCGAGATCCAGGGTCAATCACCTCCATGGAAACATTCAAAGAGCTCAGTTCAATTGACAATAAATCCATAAGGTCTTTTAAACAATTGTCAATAAGTAATCTGGTTTATGTTATTTCCAATTCATCATAATAATACGTTGAATGTACAAAAAAGGTAATACGGTGAATGTGGACGAAGAATGTTCTGACTTTTAGACACAGAATAATGGATATTGGGGTTTTTCCACAAACAAATATGACAATTGAGTAATCAAATAATTTGTTTTACTTAACTACATTTGAAGAACTATCCGAACCTCAACACAATGACTCACATATGTTACATCTTGAACAGATGCCTGAAATATAAGATAAAACCATTTTCATATTTTAAATGGAGGATTCAAATGCTTACGGCTAAAAACTTGAAGGTTTCTAAAGTTTAGGTTGGGCTTCTCAAAGAACACAGAAAAACATGAGAGACCTGGGTGTCTCTGGCAAATACAAAACTTAACATTCACTTTTCGAAAATGTGAAGTAGATAAAACTCCTTTTAACTTTGTTGTTTGTTTGAAGAAATAATCAAATACAGCTGTGCGCTGAATCAGTGGGGGCGACTACAGAACAAAACAGTCACTTTTTAAAGAAAAAACTAGAAATCAAAGTCTTGTGTTGAGAACAAATTGTGTATTATTTTTGATGTTCCAATTCACAAAGACATGAGTATTTTAATAAATATTGACAAAGACTAAGGAATAGGCGTCTAATTATTTGTGGCAAAATGTCAACCTGTCAACTGTGTCACAGTTGACTGGCACTTGCGTTGCTCGCAAAAATCCCCAAGCTCTCAGACACGCCCGGCTCCAAGATTTTCAAGATTTTTTCAAAGCTGCTGTGTGGACGTACCGTTAGTGTGAAAGTTAACAACAGTTGATTTCACGTCAGGTGTGGGAGATGGTTTCTAACTCATGAACAGCACTGTGTGCCTGATGTGGTCTCCTATAGCTTATAATGTTCTCTCTTTCTATTTGTAGAGGTAATCAAACTAGATGATTGCCAGCACCTGTGCATAATCTGTGAAATTGCAAGTGCTGTTTCACACTGACGAGGCTCTGTATGTGCAGTTTTGATGTGAACTATAAGGATGCCGCTGCGATCTAATGTTATTTGACAGGTAGAGATGTGGGATTAATTATTTCTTCTTAATTAAACCATATACACTAGAATCACTGGCTCATATTGCTATTTCAAATCAACTTTGCCTGTTTTGTACACATATATATCTATATAAAAAAGTAGAAGTATGGATCCCAGGTCGGGCAAGGTTGTCTTTTTCTCTCTAAGATAGACTTGACATTTACCAATGGGAGGAGATATCTTGGTAATGTGATTGTATTTACTTGCACTCTTATTAATTTTTTTGTGTTGCACTGTTGGAGGAGCCTGTGACCTAAGATTCTCATCAACATAGCTGCACTGTAGCTATGTACGAATGAAAATAAAAGCCTTAAATCTTGAAATCTTGAATCTCATATGAGTTTTGAGAAACGCTATGGGTAACATTATATGCTACAGAAAGCTAACATCTAATGTGAAAATCTATACTATACTATAGCATCTACAGAAAGACTTCCATGACCAACGATGTAACCGGCATGAGGTATAAGTCCGGCCTTTTGAGAGAGCTTGTAGAAATCAAAGGATTGGTACATTTTAAGGTTGTAAAAGTGGTTTTGTGGTTGGAAGGACACAAAAAAGGACACAACCAAAGCACATTGAAGTGACTGTTATTTTGTGTATATTGATTGTTGTGCTTGTATTGATGTTTGAATGTGTGCTATGTATAAATGTGTCTGTTGATTGTGTCTATATAGATACATACGTCTTTTTATATATCTTTGTTTTTGTATTCGGGATTGTGGGAAACTGTATTTCGATCTCTCTGTCTGTACACACAAACTGAAAGATTGACAATAAAGTTGACTTTGACTTTTGATCGTGCAACCTGTTTCTATTTTCACGAAGGAAACTTAAAACAGANCAGCTCATCCAGAATGCAGCGGCTCGTCTGGTCTTCAGCCTTCCTAAATGTTCCCACACCACGCCGCTCCTCCGCTCCCTTCACTGGCTTCCAGTAACTGCTAGAATCCACTTCAAGACACTGGTACTTGCGTACCATGCTGTGAATGGATCTGGCCCTTCCTACATCCAGGACATGGTTAAACCGTACACCCCAGCACGTGCACTCCGCTCTGCATCAGCCAAACAGCTCGCTGCACCCGCACTGCGAGGGGGACCCAAGTTCCCATCAGCAGAAACACGTGGGTTTGCTATCCTGGCTCCAAAATGGTGGAATGAGCTCCCCATTGAAATCAGGACAGCAGAAAGCTTACACATCTTCTTCAGACTGAAAACTCATCTCTTTGGACTCCACTTCGAGCGATATAATTACTAACAAAGCACTTATATACTAATAAAGGACTGGCTTATCTAAAGCCAGTTGAGTAGCACTTGAAATGTTTGGCTCTATGAAACCTGATGTACTTATATGATTCTGTTTTCTTCAAGTTTGTATCTTCTTGGTCGAATGCACTTATTGTAAGTTGCTTTGAATATCAGTTTTCCCTTTAAACTGTGGGGTTTTCTCCGGAAGTTTTTCCGTGTACGATGTGAGGGTCTAAGGATAGAGGGTGTCATTTTTTCTCAAACTGATATTCTGCACAATCTGTGTTGTTGTATTAGCTGTAAAGTGTCTCTACTGTAGGCTATTTTTATTATATGTACAGCACTTTGGCTCGACCAAAAATCGTTTATAAATGTGCTATATAAATAAAACTTGATTTGATTTCATAAAAGCGTCATCTAAATGTAATGTAATGTAACAATTTGTATTTTTAAAACATATAAAAAGTATAATTAGTCTTCAGAGGTGATGATTTTATCACTTTTGCGCAGATTTATATTTGGTTTAATTCTTCTTATTAAGTTTTTTTTTTTTTCATGAAGTCTTTATCACAAATAAAGTAAATAACATCTTAGGAATCTTTATCCAAAAATAAGGCTTCCTTAAGGATTCTGGTTTCAGGATCAGCCGTTCAAATTCTCAATAAGTCTGTCTGTAATATTTTTGTTATGAATGAATATTCTAAATAATGCTAGAAGTTGAAATCTGCTTTCCCCGAGGACTTTTTTGTGCATTTATTTCCCTCCGTGCTCTCCCGTGCCCTGCTTAGACTAACACACAGTAGCCAAGCATTGTTTACCAAACAAAGGCTAAACTATAATAAACCTGAACCATTAACAGCTAAGCTACTAAGGCGTCAAGAGTAATCCTATAAGAAGATTGCGCTTATTTCCCAAGTTGACATTGAGTAGATGGAGAAGATTAATTTCAGCACTTAAATGAAATGAAGCTCATTTGAATGTTAAAGCTCCAAAAGTTGAATAAAGAAAAGCAGGTTTCTCTTTCATTGTATGTAACGCATTGACAGGAGTTTCTATTCTGCAGAAAAATGGGATTCTTTTATCCGGGAAACTGAAGACATCAACACGCTAAGAGAGTGTGTTCAGATCTTGTTCAACAGCAGATACGGTGAGTCAAGCCTCTCTTTGAATTCAGAGATTTTGTTCAAAGGTATCCCTGCCTCCTCGAGCTATTGTTCCAGCTCCGTGATGTTCTGAGCTTATCTGTGGATGCTGATGGATTGGGGTCAGTGCCGTGGTTTGATCGCCTTCTCCTCAGGGATGCACACGACACGCATTTTGTAGCTGCAGTACACGGAAACACCTACGGAAAAATGTCTGAAGACAAGCCGAACCAGAGGAGAAACACAGCTGATTAAAAGGAAATATGCGCCACTTATTTGAAGGTATTCAAAAGATGCATGAAAGCAGTCATTCGGTGGATACTGTGGCTACAAGCAGACTGTACACGTTACGCCTCATTGGATCTGTTTCCAGAGTTTTAATCAAATCCCACAGCATCGATTATCACCCCCTCGAAGTTTAAATTCTCATTTAGCTGGAATTATACTTACTTTACATCGGGCGTGCATCCCACTGGAGTCTGCTTCTCCTTATGTAAATCAATGTTCCCCTCGGAAAATAACGCATGAATGAATAAACTATAGATGCACCATTTGCAGTTTGATTCCAGTTAGATTTCAATATCTTCAAAGTCCTACTTGTTTCCAGTCCAATGCATCCTAAACCCAAGCATTTTCATTAAAATCCTACTTGTTAAACGCTACTGGCACATAGCGCGTCTATATGTGTGTGTTTTCAAACCTCTTATCGCCAATGACTGGAATTCATCAGAACGTTCTGAATTTTTCTGATTTTCTTTTTCACTTCTTTCACGGTAACAATGTATCGTTTCAGGATTTAAGTTTCCCATGTGAGGTTGTTTCTCCATGGCTTGTTTTTTCAACTTGCAGGCGTTAACGTAGGGGGGTGTATCTGTCCTAACCTCATGCTGAGAAACGTCCACACTGATGACTTGTATGTGTCGTTAGTGACGTTACTGTCATATGAATTCCCTGGATCGGTGCATCTCTAGAAACTATAACCTACAGTTAAAGTGAATATCTAAATCAGGGGTGTCCAAACTACGGCCCGGGTGCCAAATGCGGCCCGCGGGACACTTTGAAACGGCCCTCAGCTAATTCAAATAGTATAATGAAATATGGCACACAAATTAAACAGCACAAATTAAACCTTTCTCATATATTGTACTAATTCAATATTATGACATCGGCAGTATTTCTGTGTGCCTCACTTTTCAGAATAATTACCCACTAACTTTATTTACCATAACAAGCTTGAATCTACCCTTTCTATTTCCTCTCACGATAAGGCATCTGACGTTTCTGTTTTAAGGGCATGAGAGCTGCAACTACAAATAAATGAAGACGCCTCTGGAAGAGATGGGATTCTAGGCTGTTGGTGTTTCTGAATAAAAGGATTTTCATCAAGTTTCAAGAATAAGTTACACGAC